GCTTTGGGTAGGGTGCTATGTGCAGTTGAAATTCCAAACCTCTAATTTAAATTTTATTTATAAAACAGGTCGATGTCGATAAAAACCTATTGCTCACTTCCAAGACGGAGTGCTTCACCCCATCTCTTGACGCTCTCAGCCAGATAAATCCGCCGTTTTCTCCTTGCTCCCTAAAATTAACATAAAATACTAAATAATATAATAAATGTGTATTTTAAAATGTGTGTTATTATTACACCACCATAATATGTCCAGAAGTTAAAAGTGATAACTTTACTATTTAAAAAAAAACTTCATACGTAAATGCAGAAAAACGATTAAACTTAATTTAGTTTCGATATGCTATGTAACATCTTATTGCAATAAAAGGTCAATCAGCTAGGTTAAAAAACAACTTACATTTAAAGATGAATTCTTCCGCCGATGACAGTGCAATGCATTCTGGGATACTGTGGGCATCGTAGTGTGCTTCGATGTAGCTGACAAAAACTGGAAAACGTCGGCTGCATTTGTTGACCGCATTCGTAGGCACCACCGAATTGGGACAGCCTACAGCGCGGGAGAGTGACGTCAGTGGCCGACGAATGCAGTCGAATAGACTGCAACCTATGACAGCTATGACACACAGCCATGGTGCCAACTTTTGGACTTATGGTGACAAATGTTTTTTTTCCACCATAACACAGTGTCATTTAATGTTCTAAAGGCTGCATGATGCTCTGTGTTTGGTTATGAGTAGCCTTATCACTAAATCAGAAAAAGTGAAACACCCCTCTACATTCACTGTTGACCTTTATTAAAATTACACCTGTTTCTTGGGTAAAATTATTAATGTTAGTTTTCAACATGCAGTTGAAGGTCATCATTATTTGGCACATTGACATGTTACAATTAAAAATAAATCAAGAATAAACTATATAAAAGTAAAAGACACCCCTAAAGTCACTGAACATGATAAATTGTGACACATTAATTAATCTTATCTCAGCTGTAGCAGTGATTTTAAAAACAATATGATGGAACTATTAATGAATAATCTGTCTCTGAAATAATTATTGAATCAAGTATTCATTTATGTAGGTAAAAGTATGTTTAACAACCTGGTAAAATAAACTAGAATGCAGGAAATAGCATCTATTTTGTTCAAAGTTTTCTGACGCCCATGTTTATAAGGTAGTCACTGCCTGTATAAAGACATAAGGAAATGACCAAAACACAAAGATCAGCAGAAACTTTTAAGTAAAAAATTATGTAATTTTCATGACCACCCCTGTGTGAGTAGTGGTCCCAGTCTGGCTACCCCTGAGAAAAATGTCTGGCTCCACCACTGAGCATAGACTGCAAAATGTTCCAGCATCTGCCAGAGAGAAAACAGCCTTAACAACGTTGTTGTGTACAAACTGTAGCTTGACACAACTTCAGTTAAACAGTATTCATGATAGATGCCGTCTACAAGATTTCTGAAATTTGAAAATCTTTGATGTCGGAACACTTTTTCTTTTGTACACTTTTCTGTTATTTCTTTTAAATCAAAATCACATATGACTTACTGTGAAACTTCATTTATGTGAAACAATATGTTTTCACCATTATACTAACAGGAAGAAGTTACACAAAATTAGTTATGTTAAAAAAGAGAAATCTTAGCTGTTATGGCAATGAGCTATCAGAATATCCAGCTTGATTTTTATATTTGATCACAGCTAAACGACCGTCGGCACCGCTAAACCCGTCATTAAATGGCAGAAACCATTCTGTTACCTTCTTACTAATATGTGCAAATTACACTTAATCACTCATTATTTGGGTCATCTTCAAATGGAGCAGCATGCCATCTAAACACATTACACTGTGAAAAGGTAATTATCTGTTATTTGTGAGAATAAAGTGTAATAGCTGCCTCTCTTTAGAGCAGAACTCTTTGCTTCTTCTGATCACTGCTTTCTGCTGCAACGTGTTGCTCCTTCAAACCAGAACCAGTGATTTACCAAACTCCTGTTTGGAGGACATTTTCAAAGTTATTTATTTGTTTGTTAACCTGACATCTGATATACACTGAAACAAAATTTTTAAAAAACTGAACCAAATCTTTATAAATGCAATTGCATCTCTGCTATTTGTGGATGATGTGGTCCTATTGGCGTCATCAGATCCTGATCCAGTGGCGGATCTAGGATTTTTTTGTGTAAGGGGCCATCAAGGGGTCACATTAGTCATGGAGGGGCCAAGTCTTTGTTCAGCATCCTTTCACACAAATCCCCAGTTTTGATAAGATGTATACATTTAACCAGTCATGTTCAAACACAATGTAATTTTTTTTTAAAAAGGGTTCCACTTTACAATAAGGCTCCCCTTATAGATAAACATTTTTGTCCATATCGCCCATCCATAACCATAACTCATCCTTGTTTAGACAGATTTGGCTCAAATTGGGGATGGTAGTACATCTCAGTGACCTCCAAAAGACAGTAAATACAAACGTTTGATTAAACTGGACGGCACATGGCAAGCCTTAGTTTCTCCAGGAACTATTCTAGTTTTTTTTTCTATCCAGGCAAATCCCACTGAGGTCACAGATCTCTTTTCAAAAGAGGCCTGGGCCTGAAGGCAACCTATGTTCTTTGTGCTGTGGGGGAAACCGGAGTGCCCAGAGAAACTCCACACAGAAAGACCCCAGGTCTGAACCGGGGATCAAACCCAGGACTGCACTGAGACCACCTCTTAAAGCAGTGGTTCTTAACCTGGGTTCGATTGAACCCCAGGGGTTCGATGAGCTGGTCTCAGGGGTTCGGTGGAGCCTCTGCCGCAGAGGTAAAGACACACTTGTGTAAAGTTGTGATGACATTCCCCACTTGGCCATCAGTTGCTGCAGAGGATCACATGAGATTGCTTGGCCAATCAGTGCTGGCCCCAAAAAAGTATTTTGTGGATTCAGAACGACAAAAAACAAATTAACTTTAAAATAAAAAAGTTATTAAAAATGTTAAATACTTTTTAAAAAATCCTAATTTATTTTTTATTAGTAAAATAGTAAAAAAAAAATTGGGGGGGGTGGGGGCTGAATTTTTTTATGGACCAGAATAAAGTCATACTGTAAGTTGTTGAGTTTCATGCACTGTGTTGGTTTTGTTCTTTGAGCAAGGTGATGTCATTTTATACACCAGTAAAAAAAAAACATATACCTATGTCTTGAATTTGGGAAAAAAAATCATATTTTATTTATCACTAAAAAGGGTTCAGTGGATGCGCATACGAAACTGGTGGGTTCGGTACCTCAAAAAGGTTAAGAACCACTGTCTTAAAGGGTCTTATGTTCGTGTTTACACAAATAAACTGCACAAGGGACGAAGTGTTAATTTTTTTCTGTGAGAGTCCCCTCTATTTAGGCCAGTTATTTAAATACAAATGTAAAAATGCTGTTTCTGTCTTCAAAACAGCAGGAATCTAAAGGTTGTTCACGGTTAGTGAGAAAGCAGACAACGCCCTCTTGTGTTGATTTTTACTGTCACTAATTGAAAGCAGTGACCCACAAACTGGTCTGTGACTTCATGGATGCTTTGAGCTTTCACCTTTTGATCTATGACTGCCAATAAAAATTATCTCTAGTCTTTTTATTCAGAGATTAAATTATCTTTTCTTTGAGTGACGGATATTCTGCCCCTTTTCCATGAGTTTTAAGTTTCAGTTTGGACTTTATCCATCAATTTTCTCTACTTTTTTTTTTCTTTTTTAATTTCAGGTGAGTTGGTGCTTGCAAACGTTGCTTTTTCTCTGAAACACTGCAGGTGATTAAAGTAAGTGCTTCATGCTTCCTGAACAGATTGGGCAGCACTCACAAATACGCTGGGTTACACATGCATAGTGCACCTTCCCTGATGTGTTGTTTAGTGGAAATCCCTCATGAGCCAGTTGCACAAAACCAAACTGAAAATAAATTTATAATTTGAATAAATAAATAAATAACTTTTTTTTACATTACCATCACTTTTTTTAATGCAGCGCTCGGAACCACTCTCGTTTGCGATTAGACAGGAAGTTTAACGGACAGAAAATGTAACGGACAGGATGTGACGTAATTTCTACTGGCAGGAACGAAGCAAGCGTTTTTATTTTTGTTTGTAGCGGTGAATTTGTTTGCGTTTCAAACTGAATTGAAAGCTCGAGTCATTTGTCGGCAGAAAGAATTGCATTTGTGAAGTTATAAAACGTATAAACAATAATATCGTTGCTCATTTAAATCACTCGGTGTCTGTTTCCGTGTCGATTCCTCCACAATGAATTACTCCGACTACGACTCTGATGGATATTCTTCAAATGAAGATGCGGACTACATCCCTTCAGGTGAGTCCTCATCTGAAACTGTTCAGAGTAAAATAGTTACTGAGAAGTAGAGAGTTATATTAAAAAAGAATATTCAGAATATATTCAAATTTATACAGATGCTTCTAAAATGATTAATAATCAAGTAGGTATATCATTTGTAATTCCAGATTTAAATATTATGAGAAATAAAAGAATAACAGATAAAGTAACCATATATACAGGTGAATAATGGCTATTTTAATGGCTTTAGGATGGGTTGAAGAAATGAGGGGGAAAAGATTTTAATTTGTTCAGATTCAAGTAGTTCATTAATCAGTATTCAAGAGGTAAATTCAGAATCTTGACAATATATTATATTTGATATAATTCACTCACTTTTAAGAATTAAAAATCATGGTACTCATATTAAACTAGTTTGGATTCCTGCCCATATTGGTGTGATAGGAAAYGAGTTGGCTGATAGTTTTGCTAAAAGTGCTTCAAAGAAGAATACAGTTGATTTAAATATTAAGATAAGTAAAAATGAGATAAAGAGTATTGTAAAAGAATATATCAAGAAAAAATGGCAAGAGAAGTGGGATAGAGGAAACAAGGCGAGATTTTATCACAGTATACAAAAAAAGTTGGAGGTTTAAGGAAATGTTATAGAAAGAAAAAGGAAGAAGATATTATATCTAGAATAAGATTTGGACATACAGGATTAAACAGTACTCTTAAAATAATTAACAAACATAATACAGGGTGTTGTAATTATTGTGGAAAATTAGAAACAGTGCAACATATTTTCTTAGAATGTAACAAATATAAATGAGAAAGAGAGGTTTTACATAGAGAGTTAAGTAGAAATAAGAATAAATTAGATATTAGAGGTTTGTTTCAAAGGTCATCAGGAGATGTAGTTTTTTGTAGTATTTTAAAATTTCTAAGAAGAACCGATGTTATGGAGAGGTTATAGACATCTGATCCGTACTCCAATCTGGAAGGTGGCGGTAATGCACCTAAAGGTTTTTTTGCCAACCGCCATTAAACAGAAGAAGAAGAAGAAAAATAATAGTTACTGGTCATCCCCCTGGTGTTGTGACAAGGCTATTGGGCTAACAGGTCCCTTGGCTTTAAGAGGTTATTTAACCAGGCATATCCCACTGTGGTTGTTCCAACTTGTTTTGGGCTGTGGAGGAAACCAGGCAAGCACGAAGAGAACATGCGAACTCCACATGTTCAAACTGGGAATCAAACCCAGGACCTTCTTGCTGTGATGCATCAGTGCTAACCACTGATTCATTGTGTCTTTAACGTAACATGTTAAAATAAATCTTTCCTGCGAAAATGTAATGTGAATGCTGGATTCTAATAAACTTTCTTAAAGTTGTTAAAGTAGTTCAAACTAAAATTTTAAAGCTAAAAAGGCAGAACAGGATCTACGAGAAGACAAAAAAACACACAAGGTGTTTGCTTAAAAGTTGTAAAATTGTAACTTGGAGCTAAAAGTAGCGATCCATCATTATCTTCTGCTTGTTCTGGAGTCAAGTCTTGGGGGCAGCAGCTTAAGCTGAGAGATTGATTGATGATTGATGATGCCTGTTTTGTCATTGTACAGAGCACAATGAAATTACATTTAAGAACACCCCTTCAAGAAGACACACATGACAAAAATATGGGGGAACAGGTGTACAGTAGGGATGTTCTGATCCAGATTTTTTGTTTCCTGATGCAATCTGATTTTTTTAATGATTAGTCTTCAATACCGATCCGATAGCTTTATTTCTTTATTTCTTTCCAAGTGACACGGTTGGTAGTATTAAAGCGAGCCCTGCTGTTCCCACCATGAAAAACATACAGTTTACAGATTTTGCAAGATGCAGTTTCAGCATCATTGTTTTCCATTGAAAAGTGTTCCCACACTGTGGACATGGTTACATACTTGTGTGAGTCTTGACTTCTTAACGGCAGTTGTAAAGCATGATGATGCTGAAAATTGTCACAAAAACTGGATCGGTCCGATCACATGACTAAATCTGATTCTACCCGATTTTCAAAAAATGTCCATATCTGCCACCGATACCGATACTGAGTGATCTGATCGGGACATCCCTAGTGTACAGGTCATGCAGCAACCAGCAGGGGTTGCGCTACCTTAAAAAAATTAATAAAAAATAATAATAAATAAAAAAAACAGAAGGTTAGATGAGGGAAAAAACAAAACAAAACAATATATTATATCAACAAAAGGTGACACACTAGTGCTTATAAAGAAACTCTTCAGAGCAAGAGCACATTTATTAGCCAGAGGAGTAATTGAGTTTAGAGGGCGTGTATCTGAAGCCATGAATGTTGTATGCACATGTGTGAACATCTGAAGAATGAGTCTGAAGAAGAATCCAGTCCCCAAAAAGATAAACCTCCATAGTTCAGCCATTGTCCAGATGAATTGTTCATTCTGTGCAGCTTCAGGTTGTTCTTCAAGGAATAAGATTAGACGGGAGGGGGAGGGGGGCACTAGGGTTGGGCATAATCGTATCGTGTGCAATTAATCGTCAGAAAAACATTAATCGATTACTTTTTGGCACTTGACGATTAATACGATTAATGCCACTCAGCAGACTAAACGCTAGGTGCTCCTCTCTGCCTCAAATATAGCAAACATTAAAAAAAGTTCTGTAATTTATTTATCTATCAACACAATTTAAAGGTTGATGTATAGCCTGAAGTCTGTAATTTTGACACAAATTGGAACAGATTTTTACGAAGAGCCAATTTTCTCCCTATAAAATGGGGTCATGTAACTAGGACATAAGGGTGTCCAGGGACTCCAGGGGATTAATCGTCAAATTAATCATTATCGGCTAAATACCACAATTAATCGTGATTAATTTATTTGCCAATATTGCCCAACCCTAGGGGGCACATTGACATAAACACCAGGAGGAATTTAGTTCCACAGCCTTCAAGGTCACGTGTGTGTGTGTGTGTGTGTG